CACACACACAGACACGCACACACACACACACACACACACACACACACACACACACACACACACAGCACACACACACACACACAGACACACACACACACACACACACACACACACACACACACACACACACACACAAAACCAAAAGCAGCGGCTTGTCCAAAATGGACGAAATTGTGCATTTTTGGGTTGTGTGTGTTTTGCTGCTTGAGGCAAGAAGAAGGAAAGCGAGGAGGACACCACACGTATCGCCACGTCTCGCAGACAAGAGTGAGTTGGATGGAGGAGGGGTTGTGTGCCATGGTGCAAGCAGACGTGCGTTCGTTGGTCAATGAAGCTGCGATCAAAGCAGGGCAGTGAACACACACGCCTGTGTATGAGGCTGAGTGGCGAAAGGTGTTGGCAGTGCAAAGAACGGAGACGCGACAAAAGCGTTTGGTGCTGCCTCGTTTGCCTTGAATGTCCTTCCTTGTCGCACGCGTTGGTGGAGGTGTTTTGATCGCCAACCACCCCCTTTCCTTTTGGCGCCTGCCACACCTCAACACGGCATCCCTTCCTTCCTTGTTCCCGAACTTGTCAGTTGTGATGCTGCCTTCGATCAACACCTTCTTCTCTCCCTCGTATTGCGCGCTCACCCCACCGTTTAACCTTCACACACACACACACATGCATGCATGTACCTTTGTTGATCAGGAGAAGAAGACACAGGAACATCGTTCAGCAGCGCTTGTCTTGTGTGACCAAGAGGGGACCTTAAATCAACCAACAACCATGGGCGACGATGGCTACTCCCTCCCGCAAGACACCGTGCCAGACTTTAGGTGCAGTCCCTCTGCTGTCAACTGCAAAACGAAAGGAGAATGCGTTCTTGTACGTTGTTGGCTCCTTGTGAAATGGGGTGACATTCACATGTCATCTCACCTGTGTCATCTCATGCCATGTCATGTTCACATGTCATTGGTCTTGCTGCACACGCCGACAACTGATACCGTCCACACAACGGCACGGTCAGGAACGTTCCAAAGCCCCAGCGCGACTCTGAGTACTCGGAACCACAACTGTGGAAGTGAGTCAGGCGGGTAGGGAAGGCTACGCGTGTGTGCGTGTGTGTGTGTGTGCGTGTTGGTTGTCTCTGTTCGTCCACAAGCATACTCATCGACTGCCACCTTCCGCAATAGATAACCAAGTCATGCATGCTTTCCTGTTGTTGCTTTTCTGCTGTTGCTCCTGCTCCTCATGACAGCCCACTCACTGCAACGTCCCCCCTCCCCCAATCTGCATTGTCACGTCGTCAACGTGCACCGCCACCCTCTCCACAGCCCACTGCAACCCCGCAGCCGCAAGGATACAGAGGACGACGACGATGATTACGACGATGCCGACCTCTCCATCAAGAAGCGCGGACAGGACTTTGTACGTGCACGTGGTGCTGTTTGGGGAGGTTGGGGAGATGGTGGTGTGTGTATGCGTGCGTGCACGTGTGTGCATGCGTGTGTATGTGTGTGTGTGCATATGTGCGTGTGTGTGTGCGTGTGTCTGTGTCTGTGTGTGTCATCCAATACTTACCCACCTTCTTCCCCTGCTAACCACCACCCCAACACCACCACCACCGCACCACCACTGCACCCCCATCATCATCATCCTCACGGCGGTGACATCACAGATTGACAGTGCGCGGCGTCTCGCCAAACGCGACGACGAGCGCAAGAAGTCCGGATACGTCGACGTCGACATCGACAAGTGAGAGGGTTGGAGTCTGTGTATGTGTGTGTGTGTGTTTTCAACTGTCCGTTCTTGTGTGTGTGTGTGTGTGTGTGTGTGTGTGTGTGTGTGTGTGAGCGTGTGTGCCACCTGCCATGCACTGCTTCCTACCACATCCTGCGGGGTCCACTCACATTGCATCTCCATCATCGTTTGTGTGTGTAACAACACAGGATCATGGCAAACCGCGCAAACCAAGGGGTGAGTCATTGTGCACACACAC